TTAAAATACATGAATCTAGAAAAGTTTGTCAAATTTTTATCGAATTATGCTTCACAAACTTCGGTCGAAATATATGGGAAAACAAATGGTATGTTTTGCCAGACCTCAGCTCTTGCTCACGAATAAACGCTTCGGAAATAAGAAAAAGGATGTACATCCGGTCACATGATAACCAACTTCTAATAATACCGTCGAGCCCCTCGTGTCTCCTCAGCTTTTTCCTTCGTGCTCTCTCACGTAAACGCACTCAGGTAAGTCTCTCGAAATTTTTTCTCAACTAGCTTTACCTGATTCTTATCGAATTCTTATTAAAATAAATATGTCTGATTCATCTGCTCGGAAGCGTACTGTTTCTTGCGAGGAACCTAATTGACGACACAAACGAAGACGAAGCCGAAGCCCAGGGCGGGAAATTAACTCGGCCGCGAACGAGTCGCTTACACAAATCCTGCGCAATAATATGACCGACATGCATGAAGAAAGAATTCGTGGCCTGGACCACACGGGTGAGCAACCTAAAGTCTCAACAAAGTCAAAACTCTACAGTCCAGCCATCCCACACTGACGAGGATTGTTTATCAGTTCATCCGGCAGCGGCTTCACCTTTAGCTTCGGACGAAGTCGATGAAACGTTGTCGCAAGACAACAGCGCCATTGAGGCACCCTTAGCTGGCCCTGAGCCGCCTTTAGCCGACATTAGTTCAGACCTGACTCACAACACAGCATCCGAGAACAAGTTTGGTGCTCATAGACGTGAACAATCTTATGAATTTTTCGATCGAGAAAACACTTCACTGCGAAAATGGTCTCCTTCGAAGCCCTTCCACGCGTTTCTCGAAAGAACCTTAGACGGCGTCTAACTGTCGACCAGGTAAACGAAATTATCGGGGAGAACTCTCTCCCTGAAACTGGCGCCTGTGTGGCACCTTACCTAGACAAGCAAATACTCAATTACGTCCCAAACAACCGTCGGCGTAAGTCGGTTGAGAATCGAGACAAGGATTTAAACCTCATTCAGCGTGCTTTGTTAAACTCGGCCGCACCAATCTGTTGCTTACATGACCGTCTAGAACAAAAGGAAACGCTGTCTAACGACGAGTTGTTAACTATTTTACAACAATCTCTATGCCTTTTAGGCTCAGCTAACCATATTACTACGGTTACACGTAGAAAGAAAATCCTGGGTGCTATTAACCCTGACAAAATTCAGTTAGCTGATAATGAATTCCCCGATGCGGGAAAAATGCTATTTGGTGATGATTTACCACCTTTGGTTGAAAAGCACTCCGAATTCTCTCGCAGCCTGTCGAAAAATCTCCAAAAAGCGCAGTTCAATCCGCAGCAAACTAAACCAAATTCAAAACAAGCGCCACACACAACACACAGATATAACTCCCAGCCTCAGCCCAGACGGCCCTTTTGTGGCTCATATGGGCAAACATTCTCGAAACCTGAACAAAATTGCAACTCGAATTTTCGAAACCAGCAGGCCCAGCAAAACAGCAGCTGGTCCCGCCAATAATAAATACCGCCGCCAGGCTACCTTGGTTCCCCAATCAATGGCAAAAGATTACCAAGGACCCAGTTATAATAGATATAGTGCGGGGTTATCAAATAAATTTTTACACCGAGCCTGTCCAGGCGCACTTTCCAAAGTCATCAGTTTCGGACAAAGAGATTGCATTAATGCAGCCATAAATAGACAAACTTATAACAATGGGAGCCATAGTCCCCGTCCAGTCCACACCCAGAGGTTTTTACAGTCGTCTATTCCTTGTCCCCAAAAAAGGCGGCGCATTCCGCCCAGTTATCAACTTAAGTCACCTAAACAAGTTCATAGCGAACGAACATTTCCAAATGGAAAATCTAAAGTGCATAAAACACCTTTTACATCCAAACGACTACATGGTCAAGTTGGATCTGAAAGATGCCTACCTCACAGTGAGTGTTCACCCCGAATCACAAAATTTCCTGCGATTTGTTTGGCAAGGACAAAACTTATCAGTTTCGAGCTCTACCGTTCGGACTCAACACGGCACCACGCATATTCACAAAGCTTCTAAAACCTGTGGTAGCTTTCCTTCGTACTTGAAATGTCAAACTCCTAATTTACCTAGATGACATACTAATTATAGGCTCATCAATAGAAGTTCTACGGGAGGGAAGTTGGTGATAGATTTGTTAGAGAACCTGGGGTTTGTAATCAATTACAAGAAGTCCATACTGATTCCATCCCTAGTACTCGAATTCTTGGGGTTCTTGATCAATTCACAAACGATGAGTTTCTACTTAACCCAGGAGAAGATCACCAAAGCTCTAAATTTGTGCAAGTCCCTTATGAAGGAGTGTCCAACTTCGTTACATCTCCTCTCCCAGCTTCAAGGGTTTCTAGAGTCTTGCCGACCAGCAGTTTGGATTGCTCCACTGCACTTCAGACACCTACAAAATTGCTTAGTACGGCAGGTAACGTTGAACAATGGGTCATATCAGGGCACAGTCCACTTGGACTCCCTGGCTCTGGAGGAACTTCAGTGGTGGAGCCCAATCTACCCTCCAACATCCAAGATGATCATAACCTCGGACGCATCCAAAATGGGATGGGGTGCCACTTGCAGGAATCGGTCAACGAACGGACGTTGGTCACATCAAGAGAGCCTCCTTCATATTAACGTTCTGGAGCTCAAAGCGACCTTCTTAGCAGTGCAAACTTTCCTGAAACATCAGTCAAATATATCAGTAAAACTCCGCCTCGACAACACAACGGCGGTTGCTTATATAAACAACCAAGGAGGCACTCGCTCACCCAGTCTCACTTCACTAACACTCGAATTATGGAACTGGTCTCTCCAACACAACATCCTAATCACGGCAGAACATCTTCCGGGTGCTCTGAACGTTCAGGCAACAAGGAATCATGAACATTTGTCGACTTGAGCGACTGGAGACTGCTGCCACACATAATACAACCCTTTCTGAAGGACAGGGAGATAGATTTGTTCGCAACAAGATTAACCAACCAGTTGCAACAATACGTAATTTGGCGCCCAGACCCGTATGCGGTGGCAACGGACGCTTTTTCAATAGATTGGCGTCCACTAAAAGGCTATGCGCTTCCGTCTTTCCCTCTCATCCCAAGAACTTTAATGAAAGTGATTCAAGACAATGCGAACCTACTCTTAGTAGCACCAGTATGGCAAACTCAACACTGGTGGCCACTCCTAATTCAACTCACGGTCAAGCACCCAGTTTTACTCCCAGTGTCACCAACACTCCTGGAAGATCCATCGAACCCGCAGGCAATCCATCCAATGCACCCGAGACTACAACTAGCCGTTTGGACTATTTCCAACAGTGCTGCGCAACAGAAGGATTTTCGGAGACGGTTACCCGTCTTCTATCCTCAGCAACACGACAGTCCACCAACAAAGCATACGACTGGTATATGAGAAAACAGCCTGATGGGGTCGTATTCATCCTTAAAAAGCCTCGAAAAACTGGCGATCCCACGTCCCTGGCTACAGCAACGTTTCCACGTTTCTTACAAGACCCCAAACTCTGCCCATGCGATTGTCTTGCAACCTACCTGAAAGCTACGGAGAGACTCCGTTCAGGTGAAGAAAGTAACAAGCTTTTCCTTTCCTTTCAACGTCCACATCACCCTGTGGCCAAAGCCACTATCACGAGATGCATGGTTATGCGATATTCTCTTAGCTGCTGGAATAGACTCCACAATATTTAAAGCTCATTCGACTAGAGCAGCCTCAACAACCGCAGCAGCTAAGCAACATCTACCTTTAGATAACATCCTTAAGATGGGCGACTGGACGTCGCCATCAACTTTTCAACGTTTTTATTACAAACCTACCATTGATGACACTTATGCCAAAACAGTTCTAACTTGCTAAAATTCTTGTTACATTCATACTGTATTTCAATTAACGTTTATCTTAAAAAATTAAAGTTACGCGAAAAACATTATGTGTCCAGTCGCGTTAAAATCTACCATTTGTTTTCCCATATATTTCGACAGAAGTTTGTGAGGCATAATTCAAATCACACAAGGGCCTTAGGAGGCCTGTTAGTGTAATTATGATTATGCAAGCAAACTGAAGGAGAAATATATGGGCCCACCCTGAACTTTCAGAGTTCATTTCCCAACCCATTTTATCTTGCCTGTTGGTTGGTAGTACGTCCAAAATAGCCGAGGAAACACGAGGATGTGACCGGATGTACATCCTTTTTCTTATTTCTGTTTCCGGAGCGTTTATTTGTGAGCAAGAGCTGAGCTCTGGCCTGACTCCTCCGCAGTCCCTTAATTGGACATTTATAGATCAGTGGTTGGACATTTTTGATCAGTAGTGATATCTATAGATCAGTGACTAGGAAAAGATTATAATTATTTGTTTGCGTAACACCAAAGCGACTGGGGACGAGTCAGAGGTCTGGCAAGCCATATCATTTGTTTTCCCATATATTTCTCCCTCCGTTTGCTTGCATAATCATAATTACACTAAAAGGCCTCCCAAGGCCCTTGTGTAATTTGAATTTTACTAAAATCCGAGGTATTTTTGCTAAAATCATTGATTAGTCGGACCCGTACGCCTATGATTAAAGCAACCTCGTACCCACGAGTAAAGACCCTGTTTACGAGATTGTGCACGATTAAAGCCGGTTTTATATACGTTAACATAAAGTTGTAAGTTGCAGAAAAATGTGATTATAGTTTTGGTTAAAACTGAAAATGTCAACGAATGCGCTTGTTATAGTTAAAACGAAATCACTTTCTTGTTATAATATAGACATGCAAAATAAAGTAAAACTAGCAAATCTAAATTTAAGCGTTCAGACTGTTGTCTCAATGCATACCAATAATATTGTGCGAAACTACACCGACTTTACAACTTTCCGAGTAAATTTGGACAAATCGAGATTAACTTGGTTGTTACTCTAATTTATAATTTTTAGATACTGACATCTGACGTGAACGATTTAACCTTTTTATTTGAATAAGCACAATTCGTGTTAGAAATATTAATTTCCAGATAACGCGAGAAATTTGTCGATGATGGCTGGCAATAATGTTGACAAAAAAGTGTACACTCATTTTTGATGATGTATTATGTATTTTTAGGTATAAGTCACAGCAGTTAAAGCACCACCTACCCATCCTGGGGCAAGGTGTGTCACCATGAACACTGCAACAGGATTAAATTTATCTTCACCAGCATATACAGTCAATGACGGATACATAATAGGCTGCAACCATTCGTAAAACTTTTGGGAATCTTCAAACTTCCACATTGTATATTTATCAGGGAAATCCATTCCAAAAATCCTATTAAGACATGGCTTTTCGTCCAAGTCATGTTCCTCGTCCTCTTCATAATCTGAGCTATCAGACGTATTATCTCGAACTAGGTGAAAGTGTAATTTGTTTTTTCGTAACTCCCCCTTATCATTAGGATGATTGGTATAATAAGCAAATATTTCTGGGTGAAAATGGAAGATTTCGTCTAGCAGTTCAAGTGGTGTTGGTAGATCTTCCTTGTCCCATGGAAATAACACAGCACATATATCATCATTCCCTTCATTTGCTGAACATTGGGTGCCTAAAAATAAATCCGATTCTTATCTATAAATACATGGAACACACCATATAGGCAATTGACCACAATAACATCATCTACACTATATATATTAGAGCTAATACTATTTGAAATAAAATTTACCATTGGACATTTCCAACCGTGACGATTCACTTCTCATGTAGATCAATATTTCAAGGGAACGGCATAAACCTTGCAAGGTTTTGACATCACCAGACAAAGGATCTAAGCCATTGGGATGAACAACTCGACAGTTCCACATGGAGGGGAGTGGACGCATAACATAGATATCATCTACATTGTCTACATCATCTTCAAAGTAACAATACCTTACAAATAATACAAAAGAAATTATATAAGCAAATTTATAATGTTATAGAGGCTGGGTAGTAATTAATGATGTTCTACCATTTATCTGCAGCTGACCACTGTGCCATTGGACCTTCATTTGAAAAGTCACACTTAATTCCAAGATCAAAATTTCTTTGTATGTACATCTTCCAAAAATACTTGTCATCTAACAATATCTAGAAAAGTAATATGTATACTGTATACACACTCAATACTTTCACAACTTTGTCTGACAACAGATTTCCCACTCAACAGTGGAAAATGCTACTTAGGACATAAACCATGCAATTAATTTTAAGTACAGGCAAGTTAATAAAAACCATTTATTTACCTTCCAAGCTTTGCAGACTTGAACGCATCTTAAAACATCTCGCAGAGAAAGGTGTAATAAGATGGTGTACAATATATCAACTGGCAATTGCATGTTTGATGAAAGATCAGCTGGAAGGTCAGGCTTCTGCAAGGCCTAAATAAGACATGGTTTAAGAGTAGAAAAAATTAAAACCTTAAATCAGTAGAGTCATTTAAAGATATAACATCTGTCCTGTCACCACCCAATATATCATCCTTACATGGGTACAAGGTTGCCAATAGATATATTCTGGGAGTTCAAACTGACCTTTCTCACACAACCACTGGTCTTCTCTACTAAAGTATATTTTCCCTTCACAGCCTTAAACTGTTCACGCTTATTCCAGGCATTTTTGGTCTTCTCCATAAATTTCTTCTCAAAGTTTTTCACAGCATCTGCTTGGCTAATAGGACCTTCTAGTTTGCTTTGTCCCTCTGTTCCCTACAAATTAAAAATAATCCATGATACGTACTCTATTAATTCGGCAGTATAGAAGCTGCTATATCGTGGCCGAATCTTTCTGGAGGATAATTTACTCAGGGAATAAAATAAAGTTAGCATTTAATATCTAACCAAAACCACACACAATAATTATTTACTTTAATACTGATAAAAATGTATTGAAAATACTGACATTTCGACCCCATCTTGTCCACACGTGAAACCCGTTGACGTTTCTTAACAATTGAATGCGGTAGAATTTATCAGACTTTCCATCAACGCAGTTAAGTAAACAAGCATAATTTTGAAAGATTTCTCCGCTTTTTAGTTTACAATGTTCGTCCATCATCATTCCATGCCAAGTTGTCGAAGTTCAACTTCAAGGGCGCTCCTAAAAAACATCCATCAGGAGCCGGTTGTATAAAAAGGTAGTCAACTTTTAACTATAAAATGTAGTTAAGAGTTTTATACAACCGGCCCCAGAAGTGAATTGGATCCAACAAAATAGACCTTTTCGGTAATTACGTCACCACATTATCGTTTTAAATTTAGAACCACATTAAGATTTCAAGTTTTAGTTTCACAAGCTATGTGCAAAGATACAAAACATCCTTTTATAACCCGTGCATGAATAATTGTTCATTTTGACAAATAAGTATGGAAATAAGCCATAACGCGGGAACGAGGCTCGCTCCTCTTGTTCCCTCAGCCTTGTTGGTTCCTGCATGTGTTCAGGATGTGTTGAAGAAGAATGTTTTCCATTTTTTTACGTGGCTCGTGAGAGTATAAAACTTTAAATCAATTTCATTTAAGGTGGTTCTAAATTTAAAACATTGTGAAGTTAAAATCTTCCCAAATTTGGGAACTAAAGGTCGTTAAAAACTTTTTTGCACACATTGCTGGTATAAAGGAACTTTTGAATCTCTCTGAATGAATCGGTGGGAGATCATATTTATGGTATCTACGAAGATTTAAGCTGGAGCCATGTCTTGGCGGTAGAAGGCTAGAGAGTTCGACGGTTCTGAAATCCATTCAAACTGTTTATTGCATAGTTGTTGACGCCTTTTATATAAGATGGATAGACCGAAATGGCTCATATTAGAATCGTAAGTTTTACTCGAGTCAATAATTGATAGTGCTCTCTTTTGTACCCTCTCAATGTCAGCACTCAACTGACTCAAGTACTGCGGCAAAGCATGATGAAAAACAGGCGAGCAATATTCCAGGATTGGTCTAATGGTTGCACAATAAAAATTTTTTATTTCTGATCTTGGGATACCAGCCCGTTTGAGAAGGATTAGAAAGAACAAACGTTTATTTACTTTCTTAATGGTCTCCGTAATATGGTTGTTCCACAAAAGGTTGTTTGAGATTGTCAGGCCTAATACTTTGCTTTGGAGACAACCGGAATGCGTTCTCCACCAATTGTAATCGGATCAAAAAATTGTTTATCTAGGAAGGCGTAATATGGTTCGAAGCGTTATTAATGATATTCGTCATCAGCTGATTCAGCACCAACTTATCTTCACAATTAACGAGTGCACGAGTCAATGGTAGACCAATTTATTGAGGTAAGGTACCGACCAAGTTCACTTTTTCTACTGGTTCGTGTGTCCCGTCCTGTTATTACTTTCCTACTTGGACTTTCGCGAGAGGACCTGATTTTAGGGTGCAATAGAAGAACGTTATGGTCGGACAAACCGAACGGGGGTACGATTTTTACACTATTTTTGTCGTATATTTTAGGTAGATTAGTCAGAACTAGATCCAAAATATGAACGAATAAGTTGTTTCAGCCTAAATTGGGTGGATAGTCGGCTAATATTAAACGATAAAGTCGCCTGCAATGAAGATACCACAACCTGGGTAGTTGCATTCGATACTGATGAGAGTAGTTAACAAAATAATAGTGCAACGCGGCGTTTGGAGGGTGATACATGGTTGCTATGATTGGGCAAGAAACCCCACGTGGAAGTCTCTTTGTTCTTAGCAACACCCATAAAGCTTCCATTCTATTATCTTGAAGGTAATTTTATTATCTTGAAGGTTTTTAAGCAAACAACCCATCACTCTACCTCGACAATTCTACCCAAAGCCTATCCAGTTAACTATAAAACTTTTAAAATAAAAATAGGTCAAGTGATCGTTACAATTATGAAAGTTCACTTATTGTATATTTTGACTATATAATAATAATAATATATAATATATAATATATAATAATAGTGACTTACAGCCCTGACAGGTGCAGGTCATCATCTTCGAATACTTCGAATACTAAGGGGCCATGGCATGGACCCTTAGAAACGTTTGTTGCTGCTTCTTCGTTCATTTTTGTCTAAATATTTTTGGATAAATTCTTAAACTGTCTTGGTCACATTGTCAGTGCATGGTCTTGGTTTTTTAAATTTTTCCTTTCGCGAACACGAAAACGCGGGTACGGTACGGGTAGTTTTTTGACAGGTAGATTTTTAACGGATACTTTGTGATTTTCGAGGCGTTTGCCGCTTAAAGCTTGTTGACAATATTGAATCTAGTTGCTTACTGAAATTTTCATTCGTTTTAGAGCAATTCGCACAGTATTTGTTTGTTAGGAAACTCTTGCAAGAGTTTGTCCATAAAATATCAAACAGGTAGGATCGAAAGGTAGAACTTTTAAAAATCACTGTTTAACTGCAAAGATTTTCCCCTTCCAAAGTAAAATTATTACTTCAAAAATACTTGGTTTTCCTACTTGAGACGAGTTTTAATCTAAAACTTTGATATGCATTTAAAGCCGTAGGGAGCCGCCTTAATCGTAATGTCAAGTCATTTTCGCCGACGAAAAATAGTCCCTAAATAGTCAATTTGTTTTTACCTACGTATTAAAATCGGTCATTGTTGATTGCACACCAGCGTACTCTATAGAAATATTTTAACACCAGCCACTTTGACATGTTTTTAACACACGCGACTAAATGAAACCAGGCATTTCAGAGACTCATGATCAACTTTAGAAAGAGCAGTTTCGAACTAGTAGAACTATCCAGTAGAAAGTTATTTTAGATATGGGGCCGGTTGTACGAAAGCCAGATAGCGCTATCCACCGGATAGTGAATTTTTCAACCGTTCTAAGGATGTTTAATTGAAAACCAAAAAATATTCAGCTTTGGAAGAAAAATTATTAAACAGAATCCTCAATTTAGGAATACTAAGATTTAATCAAAGTTATACCCAACAACAGGCGATTTTAAAGAAAGTGAAAAATTACTATCCGGCATCAATAAGAGATGATTCATGGTGCGACCTCAGAATATTTTTTACTGGTCATTCAAAACATCATATTGTCGCGTTTGAAGCGCTATTTTGCAATATTAAAGCACACCGAAGATCAGACAATCGAATTGTGTCGCGCCACCTTAAGCCAAAACTCCCACCAGGTGATTAGGTGATCTAATATTTAGAATTCTCGCTATATGTGATTTCGAACAGTGTGGTTGAAGAACAGTTTAGAACTGATAGAGCTATCCAGTATAAATAAAGTTAGTTCAGTTTAGGTTTTCTCCTGTTGCAACACTGGATCAATAAGAGATGATCCTTACTGGACGTCTGGGGAGAACGGTTTAACTAATAGAGCTATCCAATCCAGTATAAATTTTAATTCAGGTTTTTCCTGTGGTAACTGGCTGATCCTCACTGAACCTCTGAAATGAAGAGTAATTTGCCGGCTAGCTTGCGGTGTATGTGCTCGTGTATGTGCATGTGAATAGCTGATGGTAGCCGTATAATATAAACTAAAAATGCTTCGTGTTCGAATCAACAGCCCTCTGTATATAAGAATAGTCATAGCAAACATGTTATAGCAAACAAACTTTTAACAACAATATTTTTTCTCTGTCAAACGTCCAGACATTAACACTACACTCTGCAACTCCCGCATAACAAACACGAACTACAATATTCAAAAAATGAATTCTAATAATACACACGAGAAACCAAACATAACTGCGAAGTAAATCTCTGGCTACAATACGTGAAAATGAGCTCAAGAAGAAACGTTAATCAGAGACAAAGTTTCGTGTTAAGTTCTCATAAATCTTTATTAGTATACAAGTTTCGACAGCACGGGACAGTACAGTACAGTACAGTCCAGTACAGTGAAGTTGGGCCGGTTGTACGAAGGCTGGATAGCGCTATTCACCGGATAGTGATATTTTCAACCGTTTTAAAAATGCTCGAAAAGCGATAAAATTTTATCTTTGAGACAAACAATTATTAAAGAGGACCCTCGACGTAGGAACACTAAGATCTCAAGAAAGCTATAGCAAACAACGGGCGATTTTAAAGCGATTGATTAAAACCACTATCCGGCTTTCATACAACCGTTCCCAGGACAGTACAGTGCAGGGGCCGGTTCTTCGAAAGGCGTTTAGCTTAAACGGAGGATAAGTTCAAAATGAAAAACAAAATTATCGATTTATTGAACAACTGAGCTGAAATATTTTGATGTAAAAAGTTTAATTTTCAATGGCAGTAAAAATTAAACGCATAAGTTGCAAGTTCAGTCATTCACAAGATCTATGAGGGTATTTTTAAACTTTGGCTTATCCAGGCATGCACCGTTCAAGCTAAATGCCTTTCGAACAATCGGCCCCCAGGACTGTAAAGTACAGGACAGCACAGCACAGCACAGCATAGCACAGCACAGTGCAGTACAGTGTAATACAATACAGGACGGTACAGGGACGGTACACGCAAATACAGTGTAGTTATAAACAAACAACACATTAAGAAAGATTGGAGTGAAAGATGGCTACAATCTTGGCAAAAATTATTGTGGACAGCGCGCGTGCAAGTCAAAATACATGCTTTGCTCTATCACGTTCTGGCAGAAACAGCATTTCGCATCCCCCCCGCTCCCCTTTTCAATGTTGAATGGTTAATACAATAGTTAAGGTATAGGTTTGTGAAGTTCATTATCAAAGTCAACATTGTACAGGGGTGCGGGGGATCAAAACATGCCAAGGTTTGCATAAGAATATTAATATTTTAGTTCTCCACTATTTGTCCACATAATTTTTGCCCTTATTGTAGGTTTAGAAGCAATATTGATGAACTATAATAGTAACATCAATCCTGAAGAAAATGTAGAGCAAGCCGGCTCACACAAAGTAAATGTTAAAATATATCTTAAAACTGTACGAGATAATAGCCCACGACTGTAAAAATACACAAATTCAGTTTCGACTACAACTTTTCCGTAGTTTAGTTCAATAGCGAAATTGGATCATTAAATGACGTTTTGTTCTTTTTTGCAAGGACCTGTCTCGCCTGGCTGGTTTTACATTTAGCTTTTAACCCTCAGCAGACAAAGGCTCAACAACCGCAGTTTTAGCATCCACCGAAATAATGAAATAGGGACAATGGTTAGAGTTGGGGAAAAAAATTATATTGAATTGTCCTTATACATT